TGCAGGTCACTTTGCACCTCGCAGGATCTGGTGGCTGACACACGGAGCAGAAGGGCCCGAGAGGTGTGCCGGCTTTTGCATGTCGGCTTCCTGTGCCGGCAGCATGGCTCTGGGCGGGGCAGGTGCCTGCACCGCAACCCACGTGTACGGAGTCTGCCGTCAGGGAGGATTGCCATCTTGGGCTACTGGATTCCAGAGGTGCTGTGGAAACTGCTCTCGTCCATCCATTCACGGCCCATAGGTGCCTCTGAGCTACACTCAGAAAGGTGCTAACGATGGTGCAGAATAACCGCCTGCAACTGGGAGGTTTGCCTTCCCAGCCGACTCTCCTCTGGCTGCTGCTGAGCCTCTCGTTCTGCAAGCCGCACTCGTCGAAGGGATCTGGGGGCTTTCCCTGGCCCACACCTGCACATCCTTAAAGCGAAACCTTCCACCTCTCAGTCTGTCGGGACTGACTTCGTTCTCGGGGCCTGAATCTTCAGGGACGCTTCGTGGGTACTTCTCCCTGCGGCTGCCCACCACTCTGCACTCCTCACCGACACACTGGGAGCCGGGGGGCTTTTCTGGTCTTGGTTCCGCAAGGTACCGTTCCACCCATTTTCTTTGTATTGCTAAAGATGACAACCAATCAGACCACGCGCCCTGTTTCAAATCCTAAGAGGCTTCTGTTATTCTTACCCTAACGGGCACCTTTCTTACCGGAAGATGCAGGCCCTACCCGAACAGACCTCCCTAATTCTCCAGTCTCATCACTTCCCTTCCTTCTCCTTTCCTCTTCCCTCCCCTTCTCTTTTTCTTTCTTTCTCTTCTTTCTTTCCTTTGCTTCCTTTCTTCTTCCTTCCTTCTTTAATAAATTTTATTTTTCAAAAGTGTTTGGCTCACAGCAAAACAGGGTGGAAAGTACAGATATCTCCCACATTCTCCCAGCCCCCAACTGTGTACACACTCCCTTCCCCATTATTGACCAGTAACACATTTTTTTTTTTTTACAATCGATGAACCTGCATTACATTGTTATCACCCAAAGCCCATGGCCTCCCTTAGGGCTCACTGTTCATGCTGAGCATTCTATGGGCTTAGCTGTGTACCCAGCATTGTGGTATCATACAGAGTAGTTTCACTACTTTAAAAATCCTGTGTCCCCCTATTCATTCCTCCCTCTCGCATCCTTTGGTAACCACTGATCTTTCTTGCTGTCTCCACAGCATTGGCTTGTCCAGGTGCCATATTGAAATCTTGTAATATACATGCTTTTCAGACTGGCTTCTTTAGCAATGTACATTTAAGTTTTCTTCATACTTTTTCATGCCGGGCAAATAGCTCATTTCTTTTTAGCACTGAGTAACAGTCAAATAGTCTGGATGACCACAGTTCATTTGCCCATTCATCTGCTTTTTGGGTCTGGGCTCTCCCTTGACAGGTTCATAGTTGGATGGGATGGTACATAGTGGGGCTGAGTTGGAGGCAGAAGTCACCAGGGGTGGAACTTGGAAGGGTGCATCTTGTCTTGGTCTTCACTTTCTCCCTCTGTCTCCTGTCCATCATAGGTGAGAAGATCTGCTCCACCACATGCTCCCTGCCTTGGTGAAGTTACCTCATCACAGGCCAGAAGCAAGAGAGCCAAGTGACCACAGACCGACACCTCCGAAACTGTGAGTCAAAATAAACCTTTCTCCTTTAAGTTGCTTTTCTCAGGTATTTTGTCACGGGAATGGAAAGCTGAGTAAGGCTGAGGGACATTTTGATTGCTTCCAAGTTCTGGCAGCTATGATTAAAGCTGCTGTAAACACCCATGTCTGTATTTTTGTGTATACACGCTTACAACCCCTTTGAGTAGAAGCCAAGCAGCACGACTGCTGTACCATTTGACAAGGGTATGTTTATTATTGTTGTTGTTATTGGTTTTTTGAGACAGAATCTCACTATGTAGTTCAGGCTGGCCTTGAACTCACTACATGGCCCAGGCTGGCCTTGAACTTGCAGCACTCCTCCTGCCTCAGCTTCCTAGGCACTGTGATAATAGATGAGCACCACAGTGCTCAGCTGATTTTATAAAAAAAACTACCAAACCGTTCCAAAGTGGCTGCACCACTTTGCATTCCTACTAGCTACGAATGAGTTTCTATTGTTCCACATCATCGCTAGCATTTGTTGTTGTCAGTATTCTGGATTTTGTTGCACTCATAAATGTGTGGTCCTGTCCTACTGTTGTTTCCCCTCCCTCCCTCCCTTCCCCTTGTTTTCCTTCCTCCTTCCCTTCCATTTTCCTTCCTTTCCTCCCTCTCGACCTCACTGCCTCCTATCCTTACCTCATTGGTTCCTGCTCATTTTCTGTGGTGCTGGGATGGAACCCAGGGCCTCGCACGTACTTCTCACTCCATCACTGAGCTGTTCTCCCAGCCCCAACCTGTGGCCTTTTTTGGAGACAAGACCTCGCTATGTTGCCTAGGCAGGCTTTGAACTCATGATCCTTTCACCCCAGCCTCCCAAGTAGCTAGGATTACAGGCATGAATCATCTCACCCCATATTCCATTCTTTTAATCTACATTTTCCTGATGACGTAGGATGATGTTCAGGGTCTTATTGTTTTTTCCTTTCCTTACTAGATTATAAGTTCCAAGAGAGCAGAAACTTATACCTGTCTTAGTCACCATCCTATGTTTAGTGCCTATAACAATTCCTTGCACCTGGCGGGCCCTCTGAATGGGTGATTCAGCCAGGGACCCGAGCCTCTGCTAGCCAAGTTATCTTTGGCTAGATAAATAAGATAAATAATTTTCATTATTCATTAGGTTAAAAATATTAAAAACTTCAAAACTTGGTCATGAGTACTGGAGCTCGGATGTTTTGGCCCCATTTTGGTTTCCAAATGCTGTCTCCCTCACTCTCCACTTCTCCACGTCCTCTCTTTAGTTCCTCCCTCCTTGTTTCCAGCCACTTCCCTGGGCTTCACCCCACACCCTCCTCCCCTGTCGCCTGGGCCTGGTGCCATAGGTGGTTTCCTTACCCGAGTCTGGCCCTGAAACCTGTTTCTGTGCCCAGAGCAGCACCCGTGAGAGAAGCTGGAGGCCTCTCAGAGACACCGTGGGTTCAGAAGTAGCTGGTGACCAAGTGCTTTCTCACTTATTTCCTCTTCTTTCATAACAGAGGCAATGTTGGTCGCTGGCGGTGCACACCTTGCCAGCTCTCCTATCCGGTAACACGTTTCTGCGGCAAACACTTCACCCTCTGAGAGCCGAGCCCCAGGCAGGCTCCAATACCAGCTTCACGCTGCTTGATCCGCTTGCTGCCCCACATCTACGTGTGCCCTACTCTATGCTGTGGGATGCCGACCCACACTGCACCATTTCCTGCCACCCAGCAGCTTTTGGTCAAGGTCAGCCAAAGGACAAAGCAAGACGAGAGAGTATCACGGCATGCGCTCCCCATTCAGACTCAAATCCCAACAGGGCAGCCTCTCTTCTACACGACTTTAAATTTTAGAACATTATTACAGTAAAAGACACATTTCCATTAACCCTCACCCCCCAAGTTCCCCTTCTCCTCAATCACACGTATTCTTCATCCTTGTCACTTTCTGAGGCAGTTGTGGGCGTCCTATTCTGTGACTGTGTGTAGTGGTACTGTCACGGCTGCCATGATGCCTTTACGAGAACGTGGACCCTTCACGGTCATTTTGCCTTTGCGGAAGAACCTGAAGCTGCACAGTACCAGACCCAGTGCGTAAGTGGAGGAGGAGACACCATGATGTGAGAAGCCTACTTCTCCTTCTGACAGCACGCTGCAGCAGAATTCACCATGTTTTTGGTCACATCTTGTAAAGACCTTCACAGAACTTTCTCAGCAAGTGGCAAGAACAGTAGGATGTTTGTTCGGAGTGAGGGCAAAGATTTTGAAGGGGATTAATGGCAATGCCTTTTACTATAATACATTTGAAAAAGGTGAACGTTTCCTCTCTATTTTGATTCCTCCCTGTAGATTATAATACAACACTACTTTGTTAGCGACTGTAGTGATTTCAGGATTCACAGCGCTTGTGAGCAATGACTGGGATGACATGAACCTTCACGTCAACCTACCCAAGAAGGGTAAGGTTTTCCCAGCACAAGCTGGTTAACACTTACAGGAAAGGACACTTATGCTGCACTCTTAATACTTATCTTTATTATGAAAGTGTTTCCAAAGTAAAATGATCCTCATAATAATGAACGCTTCCAGAGATCAAGAATGAATAATTGTATTTTCATATAAAATCAGCAAAACACAATAACGATACATGAAATAATTCTAACTGGCTAACAGTACATCATTCCATTTCTGACAGAGATGCTCAAGCACTGAATTGTTTTAAGAAAACAAATAAGGTTTTGTTACCTAACCTACTCTTCACCGAAAGCTTAAAAAAAAAGAAAAAAGAAACAGACCAAACACTAACCACCAGCCCCTTCCATGCCAACAAAAGGGTGTGGAGGCAAATGATGATTATTGTGTGGGAACACAAGACACTGCTGAAAATCATGAGCTTACGGGCTCTATGAACCTGTGGGAAATCAAACTCGGGGGTGCTTCTGTGATTAAATTAATGAAGCTGTAAGTAGAAGTCACAGAATCATCATGTGACTGTACCTGTTATACAGCTTTTATTTACTTATTTTTGCAGCTAATCTTTCAAAATCCTTAATTTTTAAAGAGTAGTCTTATGATGGTTCTGATTTCTGCAGAAGGATACTACTACTACTACTACTACTACTACTACTACTACTACTACTATTAATAATAATAGGAAGGAGGAGGAGGAGAAGAAAAAGAAAGAAATCCACCTTTTTTGCCATACAAAGAAACCTTACTCAGAGCTGTTGTTTCTAGATCCCGGGCCATGAAATGTACACCAACATAGGAAGTTATGCTTTCATGGACCCATGACAAGGAAACACAGACACACACACCGGCACAATAACTTCTTTCTGAAAAATGGGACCAGGCAAAGGAAGAGGTATGCACACAAGTGACCCAAAGGCTACTGAGAAATCCAAAGCAGAAAAACGACAACCTATTTGCTTCCTTTTACCAAGAGTTCTAGAAGTCTGAAATGAACGTGAATGAGTAAGATCAAACAAGATAGACCCTAGGCTAACAAGGCCCCTCCTATCACTTCCTCCACAATGCTGAGAATGCCCAGTTGTGTGGAGATAACCATATGCCACCTGGCTGCAGAGACTTACTATATTCCTTTGGCTTGGTGTGTACCCCTTTGGTAATGCATTCCTTTCCAAGTCTTCATGGAGAACTCAAGTTGGAAATACCTGGAAAAGAATAAATTTCTTCGGCTGTCTGCAGATCTCATTAACAGATACAATTTTCTCCATGAAAACCAGCACCACACATGCTACCTCTGAGTATTCGAGGAGTTCTAACAGTAGAGTGGACAGGGTCCTCAGTATGCACTGAGCGCCCCCTAGGGGTTGGAGGGTGCTGTCCACACAAAGGCAAACCACAGCGTCTTTCTTTGGCTAGTCACTATGAAGAACTAAGATGCAGCAGGGGAACTACTGATAATTACTAGGTGGCAATTTGAGAATGGCACAATTTCATTTCTCCATGATAAACCTAATCTGATTTTGGAGACAATAATATCTTTAAGAAAAAAAATCTTGCTGCATTTTCAAGAATAGTTTGTATTTAATGAGCTGTTCATGACTTTTCCTTCTGTGGACTAATGTGCTAGATACAAGTGCCATAACTTGAGTTCCAGGCACCTTCTTTTTCCACACGTTACCTATAGCACATGAAAAGGTGCTATAGATTATTTTACATCAGGTTGATGTTGATTTTATTTCAATATTAGAGACATTTCTGGGCTATTATGATTTGTCTACAAAGAAGACAAAGACAAAAAAGGTAAGTTCATCAGAATGTTAACACCTCAAATACCACATGAAATGTAAACATTTAAACCTTTTATTTCCAAAGGTTTCTCGAACCCTCTCTGGATATAATGACACCAACATACACTAATACATGGAAACTTTCCATGCCTTTGGACTTATTTGTATAGTTTTTATACTGCAAATTAAGAAAAATACATATTCAGGCAACTTTGGCTTTAATATTTCTAGATAGGAACAAAAGTAACAATGCAGAATTATGAATGGACTGGGAACAATCACAGTTGTCCATAAATTTCTCTTTGAAGAACTCTTTAGTAGTCTCAGACAAGCTGAATGGAAGACTCACATTTTACTTAGTCCAAAAAACAATGAGATTTAATACACAATGGAAGATTCAGATCCCTTCTACCTAAAATGAAGGCATTCAGTTTGCTCAAATTCAAATTCTATCAAATACAGTCATGTATCATATAACCACAGGAACATGGATCAAGAAACATCCCATTAAGTGATTTCACTATGAACGAATATCAAGGCAGACTTACACAAACCTAGATGGTTTGCCTACTATACGCTGAAGCTATATTACCATCTTACAGGACCACAATTGTCTATGTGGTCTGTCACTGACCAAAGCATCATTATGTAATGCATGATTGTACGCAAGAGTGGAAAGTGTACCAACAGAAGTGGCCATTTTGATGTTCATCTACCATTTTGATTACAGATAATCTGACTTTACCTCACTTCTTCCCTCCCTTTTCTGTTTTATTTTTGTGAGATGCTGTGGCATATCGGATGGGTGCTCAAGACACCATCTCTCCAGCAGCTCAGCAGGAGTGGGATTGTTAGTTCAACCCTGGGGATAAGCAGGAACTGTTTTCACTTTTACAGCAAATATGTGATAATCCAAAATACTGATGGTTTCTCCTCTACTTTCAAAATCCACAGGACTAATTTAGAAACATGAGCCGTATCTGGCTTCTGCGTGACCTCAGGTATTCATGTCCAGGACTGTACTGCATGTAGCTCTGTGGCTGAGAGACTGAAAGGGTTCCTCCACTCTCAGCTCAGTGGGGAGCAAGAACAAAGGACCAGGGAAGCTTCTAGTGTTTTTATGACAAGAATATGGATAAAGATGAATCACAGTTTTTGGAGATACACACACATACACACATAGATCATACACTTTTATATCATTTACTGACCCAAGGCCCAATTCTACCTTATTTTCTATGTTTTCCCCCACTAACAGATCTAGAAGAGCTATAACATTGGAGATTAAAATATCACTTTTTCTAGTGTCCTTTCTACATACCCCTTGATACCCTGGAAAGGTATGCATGTGACCAGAGGAAGGAAATGTCACCACAGCCTAATTAACAAGAAACAGCACTCTCACTAAACTACAGCTGAATTTACAAAATACACCTACAAAAAGCCACACAGCCTGGCCCAGGTGGATGATGAGATACTTCACATAGTTTTCTTTCTCAGCCTTTATCAGGCCACCATCAGACAGCAGTAGACAGACACAGGTAGATACACACCCTAAAAGATCTACAAATTCACATTTTAATTAGCCAAAAAGAACTCTACCCTAAAATGTGAAATGAAATAGACATTTAGAGTGGAATGTGTCAATGCTACTGCCAGAAAAACTGAGTTTTCCATCTTCCTTCTAAGTCATGTCTGAGAAAAAGGAAAAAAAAAAAGATCCTTTAGATTTGGCTCTGCTAAGGACAAAATAAATTTTACCATTTTATGCAGCTCTCCTAAATCTTTAATTTACAAGCTGATCTTAAAGTCATTCTTTTGTGCTAACAGGTGTAAGATGGCCCACACAAGGACACATTGTAGGGAGGATTTTCCAAGACATTAAAGTGAGACAAATATGTTCTATATCTTATGTGATAAAATCTTTTACCAGATCAAAACTTTTAGCTACAACATGCATAATATTACTTTGATCTATTTGCATTTGAGCAGATTTTCTGATGACTAACAGTAAGTTTTGGTGTTTTGTGACTGGTCTTACAAACTCAACCATCCACAAATTACACTCCTAGACATATGTCTGTTTTGTGAAATAAAATAACAAGGGTCCATAAGCAGAAAAGGTCATGTTATTTTCTATATAAAAAAGCAGACATATTTCTGACCTCTTCAATTATTACTACAGATCACACCAGAAACATCTTATTGGAAGCGAGTCGGGGGAAACTCAGTATTACAGTGAAAAAGGTTTTGTTTGGAAATATTCTTTTAACTATTAATTCACAGATTGCAAAGTGTAGGCACAAAGATTTTAGTTTTCTTTTTAACCAGATTAACTGTGAATGGCTCTGGGCAGACTATGCACACTGTAATATTTTTCTGTTATTTTCACTGTGCTTTATTTCACACATTTACATTCCAGCACTTTTGTTTTGGATTTGTCTTAGATGATGGTATTTTTGATTTATAAAATAACTACATGTAATCCTATTTTATTCTCTCTTACTAGAAGTTAGAAGAAAAGAGAGACACTGTTTGGCATATGTGCATGGTATTCTTATCCATATATAACACTGCTGTGGAGAAGCCTTAAGGAGACTTTATTCTTCAGTAATTTTTCTCATTGCTGATACTGCAATTGCCCAGTGCAATTTTTGCTACTTTTCTGGAAATAAAAATTGAATAAAAATTCCTGGAAAGCATACAAGTCTTCAAAGAAGCAAATAAAAAGGACTTGGAGTATCACACTACCTAGTTTTCAGTAACAAAAAAGTGGGATTTGTTTAAAGGAATAACAATGGGTACAACAGTCAGTCTTCCATGGGCTTTATTTTGCTCAGCAAAGCTAGGGCTTTTCCTCAAAAGCTGGCTGCAATAAAGTGCTTTGCCCTGGGGTGATCTGTACTAACTCCTGAAAGACTCCCTTTTCCATCCCAAAATACTCTTAGCTTCCTTTTCAGTACGTGACAGAAGACTGTACTAAGTATACGCATAGGCAAAACCTGACTATAGTCAGTTGCTCTCTTGATATTCCCAGGACATGAAACAAATTCCCAATACTAATAGTGATTTATTTGCTTATAACTAAGAGTTTAAGCAAAGCCAGAGTACTGCATTCATCACATACTGAAAATAGAAAAATTTCCCTAACCTACAGGTTAATCCCCAACTAACTGCCATACTCACGGAACAAATCTTGGCTGTGTGCATAAGAAATAAAATCTACTCCCAAGCAGTTTCATACAACATTCAAAAAAGCATCCCAATAACTGTCCATGAAGAGCAACAATTTAAAAACCTATGTGATGCTGTTTAAGCTTCACACTGGGAGGATGGTCACTGAGACTGATTATGCAATTTCATAGCAGGCACAGGAACACAAAGAAAGCAAACTTATTGGCTCTGTGTGAGGATCTCGCTCTGGGTTTTGCTTGCTCTAAGTGATAAGCTAAGCTGGTGCTCACAGCACACTGGACTGCAGCAAAAGAAAGAGGCAGGAGCAGATGTAGTATCTCCTTCACTGTCACGAACCCAGAGAATCAAAGAAGCAAGGAAACCCTCTTTTGTCCACAGATTTACAAACATACAAAAAATAAATAATATTCTAAGAAAGTACAAATGCAAATACTGTTCCCTTGTGTCAGTTACATATAGCATGCCTACACAGAGAGAATGGTATTTCTTCTTCATTCACAGACAGGACATACGGCAGTGTACTATTCAAAATGCTTAGATAATCCTAATTTTTCTTTGTGGTATGAGATATTATGAAAGGAACTGCATTTGCAACTTATTAAATACTTCCAAGAACAAATAGTTCACTTTGTTCAGGACATATAGTTTTATGCAATTAATCATCCAGGGAGCAAGAACCAGTCAGCAGGTACCCATTGGTACCACTGGTCCCATTGGTGGTGGTTGCAGTGTGGGCATTCTTCCCTGGAGGTTCAGAGTCCTCCTCATCTGAGCTAGACTCAATGTCACTTCGATCATCCTTGGACACCTGTGGAATACAAGAAAGCTAATTAGCTTCTAAGGAGCCATCGAGGCACAGCATGCTGAGAAGATGGATTTAGGTATCACAGAGTTGGTACTGTGGACTTCTTTAAGGTATCTTGTGATGCTGAAAACATACTACAGTGCCAGAGATAGAGACCTTTTAGACAGAAGTGTCCAAACTGTAACCCCAAACTCACTTATTTATCATGAAGTGCCAACACTGCAATTAAACCTGAACACTGAGGTTTTAGTTTAGAAAATACAACTTATACATTAACATCTTTTGTCTTAGAAGAAAAATACGTGTGCTGTAGGTTCGCCATCACTGTACTAGGCCATGCCTCTCCTCTTATTCCAGATAGGCCTGCTGCACTATTAGAATGATATTCTAGAAATCGAGTACAAATGGATCCACGTATTCTCCAATGACCGTGATCTAATTATCTACGTTACCTAAATCAGCTCCCAACCACACTAATGGACATATTCTCTAGTTTAGATCATAAAAAAGTTCCCATTTGCCTTTGTAGCTTTATGTGTCATACAAGAACTAATGCCTTTAGAAGGCATTTTAAGAATTTCTTCGGTGGGGTCTAGCATAAACTAGTTCCAGAGGAAAATCCTCTGACCAGATCCTCCAAAACTGGCCCCATCATACCAACTTCTCCTATTCTCCACTTGGTCTCATTAAGTAACAAGGCTGGCAAAATAAAGTACCAGGATACAAATCTATATGTTACCATGAAGGGGAAAAAAAATCCTACTCTAACAAGGAAGTAATTTTAGGGGAAATTAAGGAACTACTCTACTGTTTTTAGGATTTTTGTTTATTTGCGTGAGGCAGTTTCACTGTATGGTTCACACTGGCCTAGAACTCACTATGTAACTCAGGCTGGTCTTGAACCTGTGATGATCCTCTTGTGTCAGCCTCCTGAATGCTGGGATTATAGGTATGTGCCACCATGCTGAACAATACTCTATTGTTTTTAAAATTAAAATAGTTTAAACCCCTTACTCTGTAAGTCTAAATTATAGTCAGTATTCTTACCCAATAGGCCTTAAGATCTTCCAGTAACAAAATAGGATTAACTCAATTTTTAAGTGAGGAGGCCACAGGGACCTGTTGGCATAGCTTAGGAGAAATTTCCCCAATGCAGTCCTCCTGCAATTCCCTCAGGCCTGGCTTAAGAAGATTTGCATCTGCAGGAGATATTTCAAAATAAATCACAACTGGTCTGTGTCTCCCCTTCCCACCAATTTGAGAATCCTAGTCACCACCTCTTCAAAGGCCACCCATGCTATGCAAGGACATCATCTCGCTCAAGTGAGGGGGACAGGAGAAAGTACAAGCCCGGAACTGTTGCTCCATTCCAACCAGTATGGAGTAAATGGAGTAAATATCACCCAAAGGAACCTTGCCCCAAAGCCCCATGAGATGGGACTGAACTCAAATAAGCCACAGAGGCACAGTACATGAGCATGACTAGATGGTTAGGGTATGTCAATTTAAAAACACGGTCACAAGCACAGTGTTATGGGGCAGCTCCACCAATTATAAGTCCATTAGTCATCATTTAAGGTGCTAGTAGAAAAATCTAGTTGCAGGGAGTGATTAATTTACATCTCCATGCCTAGTTAGATTATTTTAAATTGCATTTGGTTTTTTGGAGGGTTTTGGTACTGGGGATTGAACTCAGGACCTTGCAATTGTGAGGCAGGTGGTGGAACCACTGAGCTAAATCCCCAGCCCTTTAAACTGCATTTGGAAAAATCTATACTTAGTTATTACCCCCAAAAAATGCACAAAACAATGACTTAGACTGTCTTAAAATAACCCACAGGAATATGGCCCATGGACAAGGTGAATAATCTTATTGCCCTAGATGAAAGCAGCAATGGCAGTTAAGAAATCATCTCTTCATAAAGATGAAGTAATAAAAGTTAGACGAAAGACGGTGTCTGGTGAAAATAGCAACACAATAAAGACACAAGTAATCTAATCCACCATATCCATGCAACCTTAGTTACTATCATACTTACAGCACTGCCCATGTGGATTTAATTTGTATCCAAATGAAGACAAGACAGATTTTAATAGAAATACATGTTCATTTCAAAGACTAAGAGGTCACAGAGAAAAGTAAACAGCTTCTAAGAAATTAACTGATCAACCTATTTTGGGTTTCCACAAGGAGCTGATGCTGAGGACCCACCTCACCCTGTGCCCCCCCCAGAGGGGCGGGGCCTGTGCCCTGAATGAGCTTGGTGGTAAAGTGCTGCCCCTGGGCTTAGTGCAGATCAGGAAATCACTGATGTTCAGGCCTCCATTCTGCGCTGCACTGATCTTTCCCCCAACTCCTGAACTGGGTTTCTGTTTTTCAGCTTCACTTTGATCTATTTTTGCCCTTTAACCAATATGTTAAACACCAGTATAAGAAATGCTTCTCCTTCCCTGTTGGATCACACAAAACTTAGCAGACTACACATTCACACCAAAGGGCACAGAGCTGTTCTTCCTATCTTTGCCACTAATAGACACATAAAACGCCTGGTCAGTGCCAGTAGATTAGACAGAACAATGTGCATGAAACAAAAGCATTTGAGTGCCAGTCCTGGTGTGTGACACGCAGGACAGGGAAAGAGAGAGCGTGAGAAACTTACATGTAAAGGGTTCCACTTCCCAGCCTTCCAGGGTGGCAGGAGGAAGAGAGCAAACAACGAAGTAAGAAAATGTCACAGAGAAAAATCTGGCAAAGTCACTGCTTTACACAAAGTGTGTGAGGCTCAGGAAGTTTTATTCAAATCAGCCGCAAGAGTCCAATTCTAACCAGAGAGATTTAACTCAATTTTGTTGGAAAAGTTATGAATGCATGTATTCTTCAATTTGAGATGCAGGTTGGTTTAAATGGGCAAACTGTATCAAGCAACACTTTACATAAAAAGTAAAATTTAGTATAAACGTAGTAAGAGAAGGACCAAGGGAGACACAAAAGAGGAAAGAACCCAAGTAACGCATCATCATATCTAAAATTACAAATGCAGATCATGGGTCATCATCATTAACCAGTCAATATAAACACTTTTAAAATGAAATAAAGAGAAGAAAATAATTTGGTTTGTATCTAGGTGGTCTGGTTTCATTTGGAAGAAATAACACTGATTTTGATGACATTTGAAATAACACTTATTTCAGAGAAACAACAACAAAAACCCCCAAATTTTCTGGGACATTTGAAAAGGGTGTTTTAGCTTACCTTGCCTCTTGAAACAGCCTTGCAGGCTATTTTTACAATCAAGTAAGCCCAGAAGCAGTTCAACGCTTGTACTAGCAAGAGCAGTAGATTAAAAACCCACCAGGAAGGGTAAGGTCCAACGATTTCCCAACTTTCAAATAATGTGGTATTTAACACCCTAAAAAAAAAAAAGACAGTAATTACTGAACACAGCATTTTGCTCTGCTCCCAAAGGAATCGTAGTTGGTGCACAGAAACAGAGTCAACAATCTCCCCACACCAGCGCTCCCAGGAAGGATGGTGTGAAAGCTGACTGGTTCTGAGAAGAGCCATCACCGGATGCCGCATGGTACGACTTTCTTGGTGATTCCAGCTCAGGCAGCGTACTTTTCCCAGTAGACTTTAAAGACAATTGTGGTGAAACACATAGAACACAAAGTTCGCCATCTTACATATTTTTAAGTGTATATTTTGTACTGTTTGGTAGTCATCATCACCCATATTCAGAACTCTTCATCTTGCAAATCTGAAACTGCGGACCCCAAAATAACTCCCCATCCTCTGTGTCCCCGGAAACTACTATCCTATTTTCTGCTGCAGTGAATTTTATTGCTCTAGGTACAGCAGATGAGTGGAATCATACAATAGCTGTCTTTTTTTCACAACATCCTCAAACTTCATCCATGTGCAGCAAGGGTCAGAACTATCTTTGTTTCTAAGATTGCGTTTATATGACCACCACATTTCTTTACACCCATTCACCCTTCAGTTGATAACTCAGTCGTTCTGCCTTTCCACTACAGTAAATAAAGTGGCTAAGAGCATGGGTGTCAAATATCTCTTCTAGAATATATATATGTATATGTGTAGGGTTTATACTTTGAAGTGAAATTGCTATATCATTTGATTTTCTCCTTACCCTAGTCATTGTTTCTTTCATTAATTTTCACTCATTTGTTGGACCTGATTCTATATTCAACTACTTGTTAAAATGCCTACGTGATCTTTGAGTTTACTTTGGGTTTTCAATACTTGTAAAGAATACCACTCAATGACATTAAGATTTTTTAAAAAAAGATCAGGGCCGGGGATTTAGCTCAGTGGTTCCACCACCTGCCGTGCAAGCACAAGGGCCTGAGTTTGATCCTTGGTACCCCAAAAATAAATAAAATAAAACAAAAAAACCACAAAAACAAAACAAAAAGATCAGCCCCAGAAATACTGCTTAAGTGTAAACCACATGCCCCTCACAATAAGAATTAGAATATTCATGAGACCAAAAAGAGTGGCCAGAGAAGGGCCCTTAACTGCAAATAAGGCTTCCCCTAGAACAACTGACAACCAAAAAACATCACTTTGAAGTAATACCTTGAAATGAGCAAGCAAAGAATTTAAAAATGAAAATTATTAGAGTATAATGAATGTACTTAGTTTTAAGAGTAGGCAAAAGTATGCACTTGAGTTTGGAGAAATTATTTGAGGCAGCTGGATCTCTATAATCCACCATCAGAACCAGCCTGGAGCAGCCACCTGGAGCTGTTTCTAGTGCTCTGACCTGGTCTCTGCTGTGTCCACTCCCAAGTCTTTGGAAGGTGACTGGTGTCTTCTGGACTCATATTGCTGCCCAGCACCGACACAGAAGCACAGCACCTACACAGCAGCACCGCACCTACCTAATTTTGGAATCACTCTTACTTCCCTACTCTCTTCTTACCAAGCTGACCACAGTGCTTGGAGATCTAAAGGCATTTCCACCGCGTGCCACTGCAGCACTGTGGGGGATTGGTCTGATTGTGTCGGAGACACTAAGTAGACAGCTCTTAGTGGCTAAGGGGGCAGAGGAAGAATGGATTTAAGGCATGGACCACTCCTACAAGAGCAGAAGACAAATATACACAGAATTCTGACACAAGCAACAGTCTGATGAGTGCTCTAAGACAGGTTAAGAAAAGTACTCTGAATTCACAAAATTGTACCAGTTAGGGTAATGGATCAAAAATAAAAGGAGGATGGAAAACATCCTGATTTCAGAAACTCCATTCATAGACCAAAATGATGCTAACAGTTTGTTTTTAACCCTGCCACACTAGTTATCTCTACATAATAATGCTAAAATCCTAAAAACAATAGTGTAGAATTCAATTTGACAGTTCATTGAAAGTATAATACTGCATGACCTAGTACTATTCACTCTGAGGCAGGGGGTTAATATTTGGAAATCTAATAATATAATTACACCCAGAGGCCAAATTAGTACAATTCTAAGTATTTTAATAACACCAAAGATGTTTGATAATATTCACCTCTTCACTGCTGATGTTTAAAATTTTAAACTCAAAGGATTTACCATGATTTTTAACCCTCTCAAATCAGAATAGTAATTAACACTAGCACCGCTTCCTTTAATAGCAAGAACAAACAAAGACAGGCAGTTCTGCCATCATTGTCTTACACTACTCTAGAAGTTCTGGTTACTGAGTATGGCAGGAAAGTAAAGACCTGATTTTAAATACATAACATATCTAACCATACTTTAAAAAGAGAAAACAAAGAATACCCTGTGTCAGAGAATGGTTAACAAAGTTTGCACTCTTATACTAGAAATATGAAGTCATTCAAAACATTATACATGTTTCAAGAATCCCCCACCACACACCAGGGTTCAAACTCAGGACCTTGCGCTTGTGAGGCAGGCAGGACACCACTGAGCGAAATCCCTGGTTCCAAGGATTTCTAATGATACAAGAAAATGCATGGTATCATCTCAACTCCACAAAGTAGAGGTGGGGCGGGTTGAGGGAGAGAGGAATCCTTGAAGGAATTAATCAAAGTTACTACAATAGGATTGTCTTTAGCGGATTTGGGAATTTCACATTTTCTTCTTGACATTGTTTTAGTTTCAAAATTCATGACAAGTAATTAGAAAAAAGTAAGTTATATTTGACAAAGGCTACAACAGAATTATGTCTATATTGCTGCCTTGTTTATTTCTTCTAAGAGGAAATGAACCCTTTCAACATCCATCTGCGGGCCAGGGCACAAGTCTAAGCAAGGCTGGACTCCACGGCAGTGAGGAAGGACTGCTTTTCTGTCTCCGGGGCCTTGAAAAAACATCTGGAAATAACATTCACTAGACGTATTCATTGCCTGCTTATCCTGCAATCAGGTAAGCAAGAAAGCTCTGGGATAATAACGATAGTTTTATTTCAGAACTAGCTCTGCTTCTTGACATAGGTACTACACATTTTGATATTCAGAGAAAATTTAGATCCCTTTGAACAGAAAGGGCTCCTACATCAACAGCAACCGTGGCTGCGTTATGCTACAGATTATAAAGCAGGTTTGGTGGGACTGCAGGCTGAGTCTTTCTCAGGATTATAGCTCTAGGACTGATGCTGCTGCTTGGCTAATTTGAACAGGGCATTAGAACAGTGGCTGGCAACACGACATTCATGTTAATTTCTGAAATGCTGTATTAGAATGCATCGCCTTTGCCATGGTAATCAGTGGTACCTCTACAGATGCCACTCAAAACAAATGGGATTTCTTTGAAAATTGACTTGGCCGCCTGCAGAGGCACTTGGGAAAATACAATCAGTGCACCAAATGAATATATCTTATTGAGGAACTTGGTTTAAAAAAAAACCCACCGTATATTAAGAGTTTCAGCTGGGGAGAGAGAACATGATACTTGTACTTCAAGGGACAGCAAACTGGGAGTGCTTCTGTTGAGGAAACTTTTCCTTTTTTGGGACAGACTATTAAAATGGTGATTATGGGATTTTACTTGAATAGGGAGGCCAGGAGTATGTACTTAATTATGCCATTACAAATCTACGGTAGCAGAGTTCAGACTAGCAGTTATCTCTCAGGGAGGACTGCCAAGGGCACAGGATGCAAGAGGCTTCAGGGATCCTGGAAACTTCTCTATACTGATCTGGTAATGATTACATGGAGTTATGCATGTGTAAGTATTTTACAATATAAACATCTGTCAAGCTGTATCCTGAATATTTGTGGAACATACTCCACCTGTGAACCGAACTTCAATAAAATGGACAGGAAGACACTACGCTGTGGGCCAATAAATGTATACAGTATCAGCTGGCAATTTTGGGTTTGAGTAACTACTGTATCAGTGGGGGTTTTCACCATGATAGTTTCTGTGTTCAACATATTGCTTGTAAGAAAATACTTTTCTTCTTTCTAAAGGAATAGATACCGAGTAGCATCAAACTTCTACTGCTGCTTAACTTAGTGGTGGAGAGAATGGGGGCAGAAGGGCCAAGAAAAGGCCATTTTTCTGTTCATTAATGTTAGGCTTCCCTTAAGCACTAGAAAGTACCTCACATACATGGAGCATACTCATAAGGGTCTACTTTGCCAGAACCATTTGCCAAAGGTGAGCCCCAGGGCAGAAAACACTGCATCTCCAGATTATGCCCTCCCTTTTAAAAACTGCCACCAAACAATGCTATTCTCTCCCAGCAGGACTCTGCAGCAGGGCTCCAGGGACCCACTGATGCTGTGAAGACACTGCTTCCCTCCCCTTTGTCACGGATGCTTAGTGAATCATCAGAATTTAGTTGGTGATGGTCTGTGGTTAGTTTTGCTCATTCTTATCTTTCCTGGATTCCTCCATCTTGAATTCAATTATCACAGAAAAATACTATACAAGATATGTGGGGAGGGGCTGCATTCATACACCTGTGCAGAAAAGCTGGCAGCCATTTTGTTAAGCCAGGAAAGCAGAGCTGTCTTGTTTTAAGAAGATACTGAAGGTTGTACTTATTTTCTTTCGAAGCATCAGTGTGACTTAAAGCATTCTGCTTTCTACTTATGCTTCAGGACTTGGCATACTTGTAAACCAGAGTAAAAAGACCTCCACTGTATCTCATTCAGAGAAACCAACTTCAAGTCTTCATTATTTTTTCATTCTTATTGTATCTTCCAAGGGAGAGTGTAAATCTGCTATCTTTCATTTGTACAGTTAAATGAACATTCTCACTTCCAACACTACACCTCACATCTTCTCCCTCTGTCCTTACTTAAGAGTTCTGAGACTGCACTGCATCCTTCTGAGATGAACTACAGAAAAACCACAATGATAATTAGACCCACATTAAATATCCGAAGAGAGCCAAGATTTCTTCTGTAGGAAACAAAATCAGAGCTTAA